ATCTCTCCACGGCAAGCCCTGTGCCGGGCTGAGCACCACTGTTGCTGGGGGTTCTGGTTGGGCGCCTGGAGCAGCGGCTGGCCCCGTTACGCCTGCGCTGGGAGCGGTTCCTCTGCTCTCTCATAGTTTGCCTTCTCCTTCGCACGTCGGCAGCAGGAAGTGCAGATTCAGCAGGCATTGTGTGCCTCAGCAGCCTGCCAGCTGCCTTGCTGGAGCTAATTCACCATTCAAGTCACTGCTGATAAGTTGGCAAACAATGTGCAGTGATTTCGGCGCGAGATAGCAGCTGAGCCGAGCTCCTCCGCTTCCAGCCCTCTCAGCTGGATGGAGCTGGGCCTTGGCTTTGTAAAGCTCAGGGGTCAAACCTGGTGCGAGCGTTTGGTGCTGCTGCGACGTGTCGTGGGTTTCTGATCTGCGGAGGGATAACTCTGAGTCTCATCGGTGTTATTCAAACTGGGCTTGGAGGCGCAGAGGTCCTCTGGTGACTTGGTTTAATAGGAGCTAGGAATTGAACCTAGGGCTTCTGACTGGTGGTTTAGTTGTTCCATCACTGGATAATTCTGTTCCCTCTGGAACAGCCTGGGAATAGCTCCAGTGACAACAACAGCAACGCTTTTCCTTGGGTTAACTTCACGTGGCAGCCACTGAAAGGGTGCCCAGAGGAAGCGGCTGCACTCTGCTCATCAGCTGGGCAGGAAGCAGCAGGTCAGGGTTAGAAGGAACTTACTTCAAAGCTAATGGGTGAGTGGTGCAGCAGGCACTGAGAGGAAGCGAGGTTCAACAGGCAGAGAGGGGCTTGGGGTTCTCCATCTCAGTCCTTGCTCCGCTTGCTCTCTGTTGGCTCGCATCTGTTTAACCAGGGATGCGGAGGAGATGCTCAGGGACTGGAGCACCTCCTGTATGAAGATGGGCTGAGGAAGTTGGGGCTGTTCAGCCTGGAGAAGGCTGTGTGGAGACCTCAGAGCAGCTTCCAGTGTCTGAAGGGGGCCTATAGGGATGCTCTGGAGGGATTCTTCATTAGGGACTGTAGTGATAGGACAAGGAGTAACAGGTTAAAACAGGGAAGTTTAGCTTGGATATAAGGAGGAAGTTCTTTACTGTGAGGGTGGTGAGGCACTGGAATGGGTTGCCCAGGGAGGTTGTGAATGCTCCATCCCTGGCAGTGTTCAAGACCAGGTTGGATGAAGCCTTGGGTGATATGGTTTAGTGTGAGGTGTCCCTGCCCATGGCAGGGGGGTTGGAACTGGATGATCTTAAGGTCCTTTCCAACCCTGACTATTCTATGATTGTATGAAATACAGGCCTGTAGGTTGGAGGTGCCCTCGTGAGCTGTGCACAGCTCTGCCTGGGGCTGGTACACCACACACACAGTTCAGTCTTCATGTGCCTTTATGAAATGAAGTCCTTGACTCTGTGATTCCTTTGTGTCTCAGCTTGGCAGGGAGCGCCAATAGGGTCAATATCCCTCCAGCCTTAGAACTGCAGGATGGGTTTCATACAGTCACAGAATGTTTGGGTTGGAAAGGTCCTCAAAGATCATCTCACTCCAACCCTGCCACGGGCACCATTCTGTGCAAACATTGGTACAAGGCAGGGGCAGAAGGAGGAATCTATCGTGCTCCTGCCACAAGAGAGCAGGGGTTTATCTATAGGTGAGCTTGGGGATGCCCGCCTTGATGCACTTCCCAAAGGGCACGAGGCCACAGCATGGGCAGACTGAGGTTTTGAAGTGTATCTGTCCCTGTGCCATACATTGGGGTTTGGGGTGTTTTTTTTTACTTCTCCTTTAGCACTGGAATTGAAAATTCAAGTTGGAGCAATGTGAAAGCAATCGGGCCTAATCCATTCCTGTTGTTACTCCTTTTGTTTTCACTGGAGCTGCTCCAAGGCTGGATTCAGCAGACGATGAACAACTTGTTCTCCAAAGTTGGAACTAAGGGGAGAAGGTTTTAGGGATGCTCACGCAACTCTGAGTCTACTTCTTGAGCAGCTGAAGCTCCCACAAGAGGGACAACGTATGGTGAGCCCAGGTTATTGAATTTAGTACAACATTCTAGCAATAAGCCCTCTGGTCATAATAAGACATTATTATTCATTAGAACAATTACTTGAATGAAACCCAACTGCTGGCTCACTCAGATTGGATGGAAAAATCCGAGCTGTTGATCCCAATTTCTGGTTAGCTGAACAGATATTAACCAGGAGCAAAGGACGAAAGGGTTTGAGCCTGGTAATCCTCTTCCCACTTCCCTCTCCCCTCTCTTTTCTGGAACCAGCTCCACCAGGGTTGCCACTCATGGAATGCTGCCTGCTCTTCATGCCTTGAGCATCTCGGCTGCAGCCCAGGGAACTCTGTGAAGAGGTTACAAGCCCTAGGCCTGTTTTGGTTAGATGGGAAAAGGAGAGTGCTATAAGCTATGGAGAAGGTGCACATTAGCAACTGAGGATGAGGTGGTGTGGCTCTGGGAGGGTTAATTGCAGGAGAGGGGATATTTCTATTAAGAACTAAGATGAAACTTCATAGACCGAAGCGGTCCTCACTGCTGGTTAATGCCTCCTGTGCTCCTGTGAGCTGCCGGAGGGGTCATGGCAGACACAAGATCCCCAGGGTAAAATTAAGCTTTTCTTTCTTGGAGGACGAACCATTACTGTCTCTCTGGCTCACTCCATTTACTTTCTAAACAACCCAGATCACAAAGGGCTCCAGGAGGGGTGCAGCCCTTGCAAAGAAAAGGCCTGGATGATTTTCTCCATAGGAGAGAGTCCTGTGAACGTTGTGCTTCCTGCTCTTGCCCAGAGAAGAGGATTTATAACAGATGCTCCTGCAGCCTTCACTGGGTGCGATTCGGAGGGTGGAGGATTCACCAAGCCTGGGAGAGCAGAGCAGCTCCTGCTCAACAGTGTGAGTCCTGCCTGACTGATGGGACACCTCTGTCCCAGAGTCCAGCTGATGCTGAGACAGGAGATCCCAGCCTGGTTTGGGTTGAAGGGACCTCAATGCTCCTCCAGCTCCAACCCCTGCCGCAGGCAGGGACCCCTTCCACTAGAGCAGCTTGCTCCAAGCCCCTGTGTCCAACCTGGCCTTGAACACTGCCAGGGATGGGGCAGCCACAGCTTCTCTGGGCACCCTGTGCCAGCGCCTCAGCACCCTCACAGGGAAGAGCTTCTGCCTAAGAGCTCATCTCAGTCTCCCCTCTGGCAGGTTAAAGCCATTCCCCTTGGCCTGTCCCTGCAGGCCCTTGTCCCCTAGAGATCAGAAATCCCCTTGCATGAGCTCTGACACGCTGGGACCTGTCCCCTCTGCAGCTCTGCTCAGGCAGTTTTCAGTGCCACAATCACTGCTGTGCTCTCCAGCAGTTGTGTAGTCAATAAGCAGGAAGGCAGAACACTTTTAAACCCAAACCAAACAAACTTCCAGTCTTACTCACCTTCACTCACCTCTCTCCACCCCAGAAAAGCACCGCTAACAAGCTGGTGGTGTCATGGTCAGCCAGATGCTGCTTTGCTCTTACTTTGTCCCCTGTATGGGTTTTTGCTTTGCGTGTGGCTCTAGGATGTGGGGCATCTCATCTTTCACTTTGAAACCCTCTGTTCCTCCTAGCTATTGAGCCACCTGGGAATCAGGGATCCTGAAAGGTCAGAAATTAGATGACCTCAGCAAAATAGCCATCAAAAACTGAATTGGCCTAATTCCTGGGGGAGGGAGATTGTAAGTGATGCTCTTGGAGCCTGCGGTTAGGTGTTCAGCCCTGCAAGCTCTTGCTTACTATTAGTTTTGCCCTATGAAGTATTTGCCTATGGACTTTCTTCTATTCCCAGGTTGGCAGTAATGCCTGTGGAGAAAGACTGACTGCTGCTTAAAGACCTGAGTCCAGTCTGGCTGGAGGACACAATAAGCATCCTGGCATGGAATGCTGATGGGGGTGCTTTGGATGACTTATTCCTCGAGTGACACCATCCCATGCTGTACACGTTTGATCCGGGCATGAGCATTCCCGAAGCAGGGAAGTCTGGGGTCTGGGTTCAACTGAATAGGGGTGTTTGTGCCTCTCCTTGAACAAAACCATGGCTCAGCCTTGGCCATCGGGGCACTGGATTTCTGCACTGATGCTCTCCTTGAGCCCCAGGAATGTTCCTGCCCCAGTGGGGCTGGGGCTGCTTGTGTGCAAGAGGCTGCTGGAAAAGACAGCGCGAAGAGGTGCATCTCTGAGCCCGGCCCTGGCAAACGCTGAGGTTTCTCCTTTTCTTTTTCCCTTTATTTTCTGCTTTTTCCTTCTTTTTCCTCTTTTTTCCCTTGTTTTTCCCCCTTTTCCCCTTGTTTTCCCCCTTTCCCCTTGTTTTTCCCCCTTTTTCCCTTGTTTTTCCCCCTTTTTCCCTTGTTTTTCCCCTTTCCCCTTGTTTTTCCCCCTTTTTCCCTTGTTTTTCCCCCTTTCCCCTTGTTTTTCCCTTTTCCCCTTGTTTTTCCCTTTTCCCCTTGTTTTTCCCTTTTCCCCTTGTTTTTCCCTTTTAGCCTTGTTTTTCCCTTTTCCCTTGTTTTTTCCCTCTTCTTTCCTTGTTTTTCCCTTTTTCCCCTTGTTTTTCCCCTTTTCCCTTGTTTTCCCCTTTTTTCCTTGTTTTTCCCTCTTTTTTCCTTGTTTTTCCCCCTTTCCCCTTGTTTCCCCATTTTCCCTTGTTTTTTCCCTTTTTCCCCTTGCTTTTCCCTTTTTCCCCTTGTTTTTCCCCTTTCCCCGTGTTTTCCCTTTTCTTGTTTTTCCCTTTTTCCCCTTGTTTTCCCCATTTTTTCTTGTTTCTCCCTCTTTTCCCCTTGTTTTCCCCTTTTCCCCTTGTTTTCCCCTTTTCCCCTTGTTTTCCCCTTTTCCCCTTGTTTTTCCCCTTGTTTTTCCCCCTTTCCCCTTGTTTTCCCCCTTTTCCCTTTTTTCCCTCTTTTTTCCTTGTTTTTCCCCTTTTCCCCTTCTTTTTCCCCTTCTTTTTCCCCTTTCCCCCTTCTTTTTCCCTTTTTCTTTTTCCCCTTCTTTTTCCCCTTTATTCCTTTCCCTTGACCTTTGCTGAGATGCACAGTCACACTTCAGGACCTTCCAGGGCCGCTTCTCTAATCTCCCCAGCAGGATTAATGCTGCTGGAAACCATGAGGGCTTGGACCAGCTATCAACTTTATCAGGAAAGCTTCTTTCCGGCCAAGCTTTGCTAAGCGGGAATCTTGGGTTGGAGCTGCTCGTCTCATGTTTCACAGATGGCCTCAAGGAATGATTTACTAGGAGAGTAAAAGATTAACCAGATTCCTCCAGCAGCATCTTGGGTCGCATAAAGCACTGGGTTTCACTGGGGCCTAGGCAAGCCCTCACTCCTTACCCTCGTTAGCCTGTTTTACAGTGACTAATTGCCCTGCGCTCCCTTCCCTGGGAATGGGGAATCTCCTGGTGAGGAACCCACGCTCCTCGCACGAGCAGCTTTGGAACAGGCACAGCAGCGAAGGCTTCTCCACGTGGGCAGGTACCCGAAGAGCCCCAGCCGCTGTGCCTCTGGCTGTGTTTTATTGGGCAGGTTACCGTGCTTCGGGCAGGAGATGGCGAAGGGAATGCTTACACTATGCAATGAGGTGTTCCCATGAACTTATCAAAAGCTTTGCAGAATCCCCCTGTGGAGAAGAGCCATCGCTGGAGAGGTCACACAAACGGTGCTTTGGGTAGGGCAAACCCTCTTGCTTAATGCTTTAGGGCTCAGCTGAGCTCTCCGGAGAGAGAGATTACCCCGTGTTTGCCTGTTATAGAGTCAGGCACAGAGCTCTGTATCTTGACTCTATGGCAATTCCTTCGGTCTGGCTGTTTTAAAGGGCTGCAGCACTGATTTAGACGTCCTAATTGGAGAAGGGGGTTAAATGGAGCTACCTTTCCCTTTGGGATGAGACTTACTAAAGATGCGGTGGTCCCACAAGATCAGCAGATCTTTGCATTTAATCATTTGCATGCCTTCCATCATGCTTCCCCCCTTTGTTCATTAAACAGAACCCCCTAATAACCACAAGATCGCTGACGGGCTGGCAGTGATGGGTTGCCCCTCGTTATCGATAGACGAAGTACATGTGCCATGAAGTGTAAGGCAATGTCTGCATGTGCTGATCTCATGTAAACGGTCTTTGGTTCACAGCAGTCAGAGATGCGAGCCCTGAGGCTCGCTGGAGGCACCAGCCCCTGTTTAGATCTGTGAGGTTTAGCCAAGAGGCTGAGGAAGGAAGGTTCTGTGCCTTCCTCTGCTGTGATCTCCTCACACAGGCTAAAAGCCACCTAGGGAACAGGGACGACAAGAAACAGCCCTGACAGTCTTGTCTTAAGGCACCAGAAGAAGTCAGAGCTGCTCCGTCTGCCCCGGAAGCATAGGGGCAATAAAACTGGCTTCTGTTCTGATTTTTGCATGGCTATTTATACATACGAATTGGTGCTGACCCTACTCCCTGGCAATCCCTTTTGGATGAGTCTATGGCATAAAGAAGGCAGAAGCAGCCCCTGGAGCCCCCTTGGTAAAAGCTCCCCTGCCCCAGTTCTTCAAGGCTAAAGCAGGGGGAGTTATACAAAGCACAGGAACGCAGAATCCTGTCCTCGGTGAAAGGAGAAATGAAACAAGTGTGCATTTCCAGCATGGAACATAACCAGCCATCCTCTGTGACTAGTATAGATCAGCTGTGCATTGGCGTCTGCTCTGTGTACCGTTTTTCAAGTGCATCGGTTAGCAGAAGAGCTGCTGCAGCATTTCTTTGGAGGTGGCTATGTCCTCCTCCCAATGCAAGTGACTTGTAGACGCACAACATTGCGACTAAACATCGCTTTCAAAGCAAATGTGAGCCTTTGATGCTTAAAAAAGAACGAAAGGCAGTATATGAGGGCAGCACCAAATCTCAGCGGATTACTCACCATGGCAATTCTTGAGGCTATTGAGTCACTCACACAGGTTTTATACACAGACTGTCAGAGCAGGGCATCCCGGGGCTTGTTGTGATCTCCCATCGGTGACCATCCATGGTCTTGGAGCCCTGCAAGACCTTAGCAAAGCCTGTGCTGCCCTTCTCTCTGCCAAGCAGATGGGGCTATAGATAAGGGTTTGAAAAGGCACAGTCAAAAGATGTTGCAATTAACAGGGTCCAGAGTCGTGAGGCATGAAAGTGAATTTCCTGATTTTTCAATATCACCCTCATTATTTTTAGCTGTACAATCTTCTTGCCAGATGCATTGAACGGGTGCCTGGGATCCTGACTCTGAAAAGGCATCAGGCCGTGATTCCAGCCTTTTGCTGAGCATCCCACCACTTTTGGAAGCCTGTGTTGGCAAGGGTGGGACAGCTGTGCAGTGCACTGCTATAAAACACTCCTCTTGCACTGTTGTCTTGCTTTTCATGCTGTCCTTCCTGGCAACTGTTATTGCCAACAACAGCGGCTCTGCTCCTACAGAAAGGGCTGCTCCCTGTGTGCCTGCCCTCGTCCATGCACAGGGATCAAAGAGGCCCCTTTCCAAAACCCAAACAGGAATCGGGAAAAGGAATGAGCTAAAGGAGGAATTAAATGGATAACGAGTTTAAGAGATTACTTAAAATGCTCATTTCCCACTGATATTCCTTGCACTTTGTCAGGATCCCATCTGAGTGTGTCCCAGAGCGTGGCAGCCCCGGCTCGCACCCAGCATGGGGAGGATTGCTCAGTGGTAAGGGTAAGAAAGGAAACAGCTGTGATCCCTTCCTGGAGCCTTTGCTCTTTTTCATCCCCTTAGATGTATCCCAATGTAAATAACCTTTCATATCCCTTTACAAAGTGATTGCTGAGTGGGCTGGAGGAGAAGGTATTCTGTAATGTAATAATTCCTGTCCTTTCTCTTTATTTTCCTGCTTGGTCATCGAAAGGAAATCTGGCTGCTTGTTAATTTGAAAGCATTTGGAGTGGTGATGGCATAATGGATATGAAAGTTCACAGGACTCTGGCAGCTCCTAATGTATGAGGCTTTCGGATGAAGAAATGAAAGCTGCCTGTGCAGGATTCCCATTTGTCATGAAAACCCCACAGTACCACGGGACAGCTGTTTGCCTGGGATCTGTACCTCAGCTGGAAGGAACCAGAACAGACATGTGCTCTGTTGTACAAAGCCCATAACCCCAGAGACAGGTAAATCATCCTTTATAAGGAAAAAGCATCATACAGAATTAACTTTTTCTATAAAAGATGCTTTTCAGGTTCTGTTCGCTATTCTACATAATCAAAACCATGGCTTGAAATGCGTAAGTTGTGGTCTTTTATGTTCTTGTTCTCTACTACTTCTGGAGGTGGATTTGGCATTGCTGCAAGCATGGCTGGAGAGCTGGCGGGCTCTGTGTTGGCAAAGAGCTCTCCTGGTGTTAGACAAGAGCACTTTTGCAGGTGGCAGAAGTTTCCTGGGAGATCCTGGGTCCAGAGTCTTTACCCCCCTCAAGCCACCCTGTGCTTTGCCTTGTTCCCCATATCACAAGCCAAGAAACCTGGAGAGGGGCTTGGGACAAGGGCCTGTAGGGACAGGCCAAGGGGAATGGCTTTAACCTGCCCGAGGGGAGACTGAGATGAGCTCTTAGGCAGAAGCTCTTCCCTGTGAGGGTGCTGAGGCGCTGGCACAGGGTGCCCAGAGAAGCTGTGGCTGCCCCATCCCTGGCAGTGTTCAAGGGCAGGTTGGACACAGGGGCTTGGAGCAAGCTGCTCCAGTGGAAGATGTCCCTGCCCGTGGCAGGGGTTGGAGGTGGGTGAGCTTTGAGGTCCGTTCTCAAACCATTCCATGACTCCGTGAAGCTTCACCAAGCTGTGATGCAAAGAACACAAATTTCATGCAAAAGCCAAAGCTCCTGGAAAATCTTCCCTGCTTTTCTTGGAGCACTTTTGTTTTACACATGGCATCTTCACCGTGGTGCAAACACAGCATTGGGCTTCAGTGTGACCTGGTCGCTGGGGAAGCCATCAAACAAAGGTCTTCAACAAAGCAGAGGTGCTGCCACGAAGTTCAGCGTGCAGAAATAACCCCCCTGAGCTCCCCACGGGCCTCCCATGGGTGTATTTATAGTGATGACTCTTCAGCTCATTCTGTGTCAGGAAGCTGTGTGTCACTGAGCTTCCCTCTGTGCCGTGCTGCACTGGTGCATCACCCAGGCAAAGCACGGCTGCATGGAAGACTTTACCCAATATGAATTTCCTTAACTTTGGAAGGTCAAGGATTTCCTCCCATCCTTCCTTCTCCCCTATCCTTTTTAGTTATTGCTTCAAACGCATACGGTGGCAAACCTTGTCAATAAGGGATGTCAGCTATATGCAAATAAAAAGGCAAGATCAACCCAGCTCAGTGCGTGCAGGCATAGGAGATACTGAAGGAAGCTTTCAGAGCTTTGTTTCTTTGCCATAGCTCTGTCTCCAGACACCAGTTTAGCTGCACCAGTAATGCATTGAAGTGGGTTCCTCTGTTAAGCAATATATTCCCTATGGAGCAGTTCTGGAGCAGCCCCAGGGTGAGGTCTCTGGGTCAGGATCACTCCATCTCCCACCAGTACATCCCCCTGAGATGCTGCTCCAGGCACAGGGGGTTCCAGGTTTCAAAGTGCTTTGGTGATGCAGAGGCTGAGGTGATGGGCACAGCATCGTGTGTGGAGGAGACTCAGCACCAGCCCTGGTCCCGTTGCAGCTGAACACAAAGCCAGGTCCACCGCAAGGAGCTGCGCTGTGCTGCTGCGTGCTCCCCGCAAGCCGCAGAAGCCGATGCTCCCATGCATTCAAACACAGACACCTGGTTTTCTGTAAGCTCTTCCTTTTCCTCCATCATCAGACATGAAACCATGGAAGCGCACCCATGGTTGCACAGGGCAGGCTGACACCGGGGCTGAGGGAGGACGAGCTTGACTTTGCTGCTGCTAAAACCAGAGGTTCTTTTTCAATGTAAAACTTATTGTCTGGGGCAGCCTTCATCTCGCCAGTGCACAGTTTCAGAATGCTTTAAATTAAGTCTGGAGGCTAAAAGTGTGTTAGTCATTGCCCATACATCTTAGGGGAAGCAGGGCTCTCTAAAGTTATTGTTAGCATTAGGCATCTGGTTCGTGTTTATGATGATTTATTCAATGGTGGGAGACAGGTAAGGAGCCATCATGGAAGACAAACTAGAAAAGATTGGGTTTTTCAAAGCTCTGAAGCCATTGCTAAATCAAAGTTGTCTGACTTCAAAAGGAGCACATAACTTGATTAGGTTCTTTAAACAATGTCCGCTGCTCACAAAGTTGGCAGATATTATTAGAGGCAGAGTTGGTAGCGCAGCCTGCTCTGGAGGTTGCTTGTGCCTTCGAAGTGCAAGATCCTGATGTCCTGACTCTGCCTTTTCCTTTTCCTTCCTTCTTTAGGGAACATTTCAACCCAGCACTTCAGTTCCTGCAAAGGCCAGGGCACAGAAGAACACGTCGTTTTGTCAGGGTTAGAATAATGCAGGAAATCCTTTCCTTGGAAAGACCCAGTGCTTTCATACTTTGAAACAGGGACTTGAAATCCAGTGGGGAAGATGGGCTTTGGGCTGGAGGTGGGCACGTTGCCGTTGCCATGAGGATCTGACCACAGCTGTTTCAGTTCTATGAGCCTCTGGAGAAGCCTGGTTTGTGGATGTGCAGGAGGGCTTTGCAAGAGCTTTGCTGAGATTGGAGAAGAGTCTCTGCTTGTGTCCCCTGGTGCCTGGCACTGACGGGGCTGAAGTGAAGCAGGAGCTGGTGGGACAGGGCACGGTGGGAATGGGAGGCTGAGCATGGAATCACGGAATCAGCTGGGTTGGAAAAGCCCTTTCAGCTCCTCCAGTCCAACCGTTCCCAGCACTGCCAAGGCCACCCCTAACCCATGGCACTGAGGCCTCGTCTCCACGGTGAGTGAACCCTTGCAGGGACGGTGACTGCAGCCCTGCCCTGGGCAGCCTGTTCCAATGCCTGAGCACCCTCTGGGGCAGGAATTGTTCCTCAGCTCCATCTAAACCTGCCCTGGTGCAGCTTGAGGCCGGTTCCTCTTGTCCCATCTCTTGTTCCTTGGGAGCAGAGCCCAGCCCCTCCTGGCTCCATCCTCCTGTCAGGCAGTTGTAGGGAGCCATCAGGTCCCCACTGAGTCTTCTCCGGACTGACCCCCCCAGGACCCTCAGGCATTCCCTATCACACTTGGGCTCTAAGGCCATGGCAATGAAATGACTTGGATGTGGGGGCAAACCACTGCTCACGGAGAACTTCCCAGGGCTCTGCTGTAAGCTCAGCACTGTCCCACCCGGTTCAGCCAGCACTGGGTAGTGTCACTGCTGAGGCAGCCACAGCGATGTGCCCTCCCCATGGGGACAGCTTGTTGCTGACCAACATCTTCCAGACCTGCAGCTGCCCCACAATGGACATCAATGACTGGCACTGGTCCCATTCAGCTGGGGTGAGCCCTGCATGCACCAACCAGCCTGTTGCTCTTTACCTTTTCCAAAGCACCTTGTACCAGATTTCCTGGGGCTGGGGAAGAGCACGGGGCTGGGCCCAGCTCATCCTGCCCAGCTGGCGGTGATGGGCGCACCATGTCACACGGATGGCACAAAGACCACAGGGATGGCACGAGGACTGAACCAGTTCTTGGCCTGGGAAGTTTGTGGGGCTGCTGGAAGGGAGCCAGCATCCCGCTTCTGCTCAGGTTGGAAAACCATCCCGGTGCTGGATCCATCCAACCCAGCTATAGAGCGGGGCTGCTTGGCCGGATGACAGGCCTGGCTCTGCCTCCAAAGTGGATGCGTGCCAAGGGGGATTTTTAATTTCCAGATGCTTTTAAAGTAAAAATAAAGGCTCTGCTGTAAACTGGCTCTGGGCGGCTGCCTCCCCTGCAGCCAGAGAGCTGACTGATAGGGGCTAGAGGAGTGGGCAGTAAAACCTTTTACTGCAGTCTGGTGCATCGGGAGCGCCGGGGTGGGCAGCCTGTGGTCCCTGCCCAGCCTGCTCACCCCGATGCTCTCCAAGGACCCAGCATCTCCGGATGAAAACCTTGATGCGCTTTTGGATTTCATTTGTTGGTCTTTTGCAGGGGGAAGCTCTCTGGGAGAAGGCCGCTGGCAAGGGCAAAATGGGAAGTATTGGAGGGAATATCATCCTGAACGTGCTGCCGGGAGCCAGGAGAGGCTGGTGACAGGGATGCTGCAGGACCCTCCCTCTGCACCTTGCTCCAGACCCGGCCATAGACACATTTCTAAGCCAGCCCTGGGTGAATCCTGCAAGCAGCTCCAACCTGGCCACTGCCCATCAGCATAATGATACTGGTGAGTCAATGTCCAGTGTCCATAGGGATGCAGCTCCCGGGACAGCCATCCAGCTGTGCTCCTGGACCCTGGAGCTGGGAGAGTCCTCTATGGCCCCCTATAACCACGTTTTGCTGGCACACAAGGCATTCAGGCATCCCAAGCCTGCACAGGGTGTTTCACATCATCTCAGACCTCCAAAGCAGCTGGAGGTGAACACAGCCCAAGACCTACACTATGGCTCTAGGAACATATGGAAGGTGGCTCCTGTGTCCCTGCTGATGCTGGTCAGGAAGGGCCGTGGTGGGTTGGAGGATGCCTGAGGCTGAGTTTGCAGACAGATAGCCTGCCCGCTGGCTTCCTGCTGCCAGTCATCACCTCCCACCGTGAAGGCAATGGCTTTATCAGCACAGATCTTGATGAATTCCTTACCGCTGCAGGCATGACTGCCTTCCCTGGCTGGCTGGGTTTCACTGTGCTGGGATTCACCCCACTCCTGGCACACAGATGGGCAGCGGAGCCAGAGATGCTGGTGTTCAGGGAGTGCAGGGTGCCATGGGGACAACACAGGGCTGGAGGCTGCAAGCAAGCCCAGGAGCTGCTCCGGAAGAAGAGCCAGTTTGGGCTGTTCCCACAGCCTGTGGCTGGCTGCAGCAGGCAGGGAGTGAGGATGGGCTTGTCATGGGTCACAACAAGGCTGTTTCGGCAGGGATGGCCATAAGGAAACAGAGCAAGCCCGGACCTGCTCTGCTGGTTCCAGCAGAAATGCTGGTGATGGGGACCTTAGAGCAGCTCCAGTGCCTAAAGGGACTTCAGGAAACCTGGAGAGGGCTTTGGACAAGGGCCTGTAGGGACAGGCCAGGGGGAATTTTGGAGTGTGATGGGTCAAATCAGGCCCTCCTGGAGAGGTGGTTTGGGAGAGAAGCAGCACTCCTCTGAATGCAGCAGCATCGCTTCGGCTTTACAGCTGCACTGGGCTCATACTTGAGAC